ACCTTTCAACTCCACACGCCTTCCAACTTCTCCAGTGTTTCTTTTCTGAATTGTTTACTTCTGCAAATTAGACGCTGTGCTTCCTGCCATGGGTGCTCTTTACACCGTGTGTTTATTTACCGTGTGTGCTCCTGCTGTCTTTCTCATGCTTAGGTCATTTCTTTTCGCATGAAGCTTATCCTTGAGAGTGTCCTTTTCTGCAAGGGTTTTTGCATGGTATTTATCTATCTGTCTGAAAATGCGTAGTTCTTCATTTAGAAAAACCAGTTTTGCCGGGCATGGAGTTCTTAGTTAGCAGTTGTCACTCGGCGTGGAGTATATATTATTCCAGTGTCTTCTGGCTTTCACTTTTGTTCTCAGTCCAGTTACCATGGCTGCTGGCTGCTTTTATGATCTGTTCTGTAACTCTGAGGCCTTATAGTTTTGTTTAATATGTGGTATTCTAACTCTCTCTGTTTAAAATCTTGTTGAGTTCATTGGGCTTCCTCCATGTGTGATCTAGTCTTTGAGCATTCTGAAAAAGTATCTCTAGACACTGCTTCTTCCCTATTCTTAATGTCGTCTCCTTGTGGGACTTTGTTAGGTGTGAGTCAGGTTTCATTCCTGCTTGTTTTCTAGGGTGGCTTCTTTAACTCGTCTTTTTGGTGTCTTCAGCTTCCTCTACTTCTTGCCAGCCCAGTGATGCAATCATTTTTGTTCAGCTTTTCATTTTGCAACAGGAGAGTCGCTAAGATACCTGGTGTGCACGGCTGCTGAGAGCAGAAGTCTGCTCTGTCACACTGTCTGCGCTGGAGCCCAGCACGCTCTCCACTCATTCATTCCGGACGTGTTTATTGTGTGCCTGTCATGCATCAATGCCAAGGATACGGGGCGAACAGGGACTTTGTTCTTCAGGGGCTTGCGCTCTTGCGAGTGGGAAAAGATCATATACAAATATATAACTTGGCGTGTGGGGCTGAGTGTTACTGAGAAAATGGAGCAGAGCTGGGGCCTGAGTGTCAGGAATGGGGACGGACTGGGGAGGGCTTTCAGGTAGCTGACGATGTGAGGGAGCAGAGCCTGCAGGCGCTGGAGGAAGCTGTTTGCTGGCAGAGCGGCAGCCACTGCAAAGGTGGGGCGGCGCCCAGGGCGTTGGGCAGCCCACAGGAAGGTCACCAGAGCCCGAGGAGTCAGGAGCCGGCACCGGAAGGAGCCGAGCCTGGAGTTGGAAGCTGAGGCCAAGTGGGATCTTGTAGGTCAGAGAGGGAAGGGAGGTAAGTGTGATGGGCACCTCTTGGCAATTTTGAGTTTGGTGGCTTGAACCAGGTAACCGAAGCAGGTGGTGCGAGGCGGCCAGATTCTGGCCCTGTTTCAAGGTGGAGCTGACGGGATGTGCGGTGCGAAGGAAGGAGAAGGGTCCGGGGCAGCGGTGCAGGTGACAGACTTGTTTACTGAAGGAGGAAGACTAGGGTAGGCGCTCACAGGGGCAGGGGGAGGAGAAGGTGAGTGCAGGGCAGTGTGTCCGAGAGGCCACCCAAGTGCCCGGGGAGCGGGTGCGGAACCTGCGGCTGCGCCGTGCTGGGCTATGCGGAGTCAGCTCCGCAGGGGTCTGTGCTAAGAAGCGAGTTGGGAGGCTGGTGTTTCAAGTCGTGGGGGAAGCGGGTCGCTGGTTCGCCGCAGCCAGGGAGGCGCTGCCCAGGTTCTCTGCAGGACAGGCTGAGAGGCGCGTGGGCGCTGGGAGCACCGGGAGTGAGGGAGTGTAAGCGATACGTGAGCCGGTTGTCTGACTTGAAGATAGGGGACTTGGATTCCTTTACTGGAAAAGCTTGAGTCCACATTGTGGAAGTGACAGAAGGTGCCTAGGTAGAGCCTCAGCTTCCTTTTCAATTTTCAGAAGTAACCCAACTAATATGTTTTTAGGGAAGAAAATTAAGAAACATGTGTATGGAAAAAGGAAAAACCCAGAATTCACATACTCCACCATCCGGAGAAGGGGAGTAAATGTTCACATTTATTCCAGTATTTGCTCAGATGTCCCCTCCTCAGGAGAACCTTCCTGACCACCGCTGCGTCTGCACCCTTGCTGGTCTGTCTGTCTGTAAGTCCTCCGGCTCCCAGCAGGCCCGGCATCTCCTGTGCCTGCATGAAGTACGTCTTGGTGAGTGAAGGAGTGCATGGCCCTGGTGCCGCCGTCCAGACAGACCTCCGTTCTGGGCAGCACCCACCCCGAAACAGGCATTTTAGAGTAAGCTCGTGACCGAGTTTCACACGCCACGGACTATCTGCGTGCTCCGGGGCGTTCTCTTCCGTCTGTCTGTCCAGCTTCTCAGGGCAGCCTGCGCTCAGACTCCTGCCACTGGGCTGCAGGCAGCACGCTCCCCTTGCTCCCCCACCTCGCTCCCCGCTCCCTCCCTCCCTCCCTCCCTCCCAGCCCAGTCCGACGTGACCTTGACTTACCTTCCCTGCTGCTGCACTGGGCGCCCAGGGCCTGCAGGGCCCCCGTCTCACACGGTTTACTTCGCCGCCTTCCGCCAGCTCTTAGCAAGGTTCTGGCACTCAGGAAGTCGGTGTTTTCAGAATATTGAGGAAAATACACGTAAAATAATAGAGCATCATTGTCTTGGCTTAATATTCTCCTGAGTTTTTCAGAATAAATTACATAGTTTATTGAAAATGTTTGAAAATTTGGGACACAGGCTATTTTTTAAGCCCGCCAAATTGACAGATGTTCTGTTAAGGAAAGGATCTGCCCCTGTGTGCGTGTGTGTGTGTGTGTGTGTGTGTGCGTGTGTGTGCGTGTGTGTGTGCGTGTGTGCGTGTGTGTGTGAGTGTGTGAGTGTGTGTGTGTGTGTGCGTGTGTGCGTGTGTGTGTGAGTAAAGGGGGTGTGGGAGGGGGGAGGGAGGGAGAGAGGATGGGGTGTGTGTGCACACACGTGTGCGTGGTGTGACCTGTGCGCCTGCGTGCGTCCAGGTTCGGGGCTGTCCCTGCGGTTAAGAGAGTGACAAGCCGTTTCCTGCAGGGCTTCCCACATCATCCTCATGTAGGGAGCAGGTCATTTCTCCACGCGTGGCAGTGTCGCCGATTTCCCCCCTTGTCACCTGCACCTGCAGATGTGTACTAGGCAGGTAGCCTCATGAACCAAATACGCAGGTGTTTGCTTTGTGTCCCCTGAGATCTCACTGGCGCTGAACTGAGAAGTGAGCGTGCGAGGCCCGTTTGCTGGGGTGACCTGTGCCCTCCGGGTGGGTCAGAACCAGGGAGACGGGGGCGTTGCAGGGACAGGCAGGTCCAGAGGACGTTCGCTGCTCGCCTCATCGCTCAGGCCCTCGCGTGTGTGTGCTGTTTGAACCGCCCACGACGTCCTGGGAAGCCAGGCAGCCACAGGCACGCCTGCTGTGCGGGTGGGGCACAAGGGGCTCCAAAACGAGAGCTCCGAGCTGCCGGTTCAAACCGCGTTCTCGCTTGACTCTCCCCGTTTGAGGGGAGCTTCTGCTGTTAACTTTATGCTCGGTTTTAGCTCATTAGTTTCAGGCCGTTGCTCGATAAGTGGGTTCCCTGTGTTTTTCCAGATGACTGGGTGGACCTTCACGTTATGTGAGCTTTTCAAAGAAGAGAACCCCCGGCAGATCAGAGCTCGGTCGTCAGTTTGTCACGCCGGGTCCAGCTGGCCCTGTGTCCCTCTTTGGAACAGGAGACTCTGGCTCCAGCGCACACGCTCGAGAAAGCCACACCATAGCTGAGTGCAGAGACACCTGCGAAATGCTTAAAATTCAAATCCTTTTGTGGTTTGTGTGACTATTTTTAACTTCAAAGGCACAGGGTCACAGCACTGCTTGAGAAGCACTTGACCACTTCACCTCCCGACGACGGAGCTCTGATGGGCTCCTCTGGGCCTCGGGGGCCGTGGGCGGCTCTCAGGCTGAGCTGGTAGTGGGTCGGACAGGCAGGAGTCTTTTCCCAAAGGTGTGAGTGACTCAGGGCGGCTGCCAGCCCCTGTGCCCACACGCGCTCTGCCCTTTGTAAATTCTTCCTCCTCCCCTTAGAGGCCACGGCCACTTCCCAGGGCCGTTCCGAGGGCCTGCGTGACCCCGCACTGCGCTGGTTATTGCCTCCTCTTTGTTTTGCAGCGTCTTCTCCCTGGGGGCCTGTCTCTGCCTCTCCACCTGGTGAGGTCCCATGGGAACGTCAGCCCCGTGCATCCTCCCCGGACCCCCGTCTGTTCCCATAGCATTCTGAGCAGAATCCTCTCCAAGCCCTTGGCACCCCCTGTCTCGGAGGAGGTTGTGTGTCAGTCAGCATCTTGGGAGGGGAGTGGTCCGTGACAGTGCCTGGCTCTTTGGACGGAGGCTGGCCTGCAGTCACTCCCCTCACTCTGGCACCGCCACCGACTGTTGAAGGCCCCGCACTAGCACAGTGCCAGTCCCAGGCAGATGCCATTTGATCCTCAGAACCTCGAAGGCAGATTGGTTCCATTTTACAAATAAGCAGTATCAACATTTTATAGATAAACAGTATCAACATCTTAAGGATGTTGCATGAGGTGCTGGGCCATTCAGCAGTCACGCCAGCACATCTCGTGAAGAACCACAGAAGGGCATTTCGGGGACCTAGGTCTGTCCCAAGCGCCACGCTCTTTGGTGGGGTTCTCTCCCCTCAAAGCGCCCCAGGTCTGCGCAGCAAGGAGGCAGCGGGGAACTGCCCACAGAGGCCCTTTGTGTGACAGGAAGCCCCGCTTCTCGAAGGGGCTGCCTCAGCGGAGGGACCAGGGAAGCCGGAGCCGCTGACCTGGGGCCACTCTGACTCACGCTGCCATTAATAATGCCCTTTGTCGGGTCTTGGGAGCCGGCCTCAGCAGGCCGCCCGCTCCCGGGGGTCAGGCCTCCCCCGTCTCACCCGTGTTGAATGCCGCCGTTTTCTTGCCTGAACAAAGGACCGCCTCCTGACCCGTTCTTCGTTTTCCTTCTGCTTTTGCAGAGAATCCGCCTGTCTCATCTGGGCCTCTGGGCTTTTCTTTTTTTAGGCTTCCAGCGTGTGTCTTCAGTTGGAAACCTTGCGGCTCAAGGAAGACGGACCCCGCTGGGTGAGTGCTGCCCCCTGAGAGAAGGGATCTTTGGGAAGTGCCTGGTGTGGCTCGTTAGGTGGTGGTGGGGGAGCTGCCCCGAGAACTCGGGGAGCAAAGATGAAGTGGAGGTGCCTGAACTGACTGCCCAGCTCCCCGCGGCTTCATTGTATATGTCTCTCGAGCTGCGGCCGCCTGTCCCTGGTTAGGTGCTGGGGGCAGGGTGTCAGGAGACCCTGGAGTGAACCGGGGTGGGGGTGGCAGGTGTCCCTTCACCTGTGCTTGCCAGCCCTGACCTCCAGCTGGGCGTGAGGGCGTGCGTGTGCCCGCTGCTTGCGTGACGGGATTCTGAGGTTAAGTTGGAACAACACGGCTTCTGTCCTCGTCAGGCGGCTTATGTGTCGTGGCAGAACTGGACCCTTCCCGGGTCGACATGGCGGCACATCCGTGTGCGCTTGTCCTTTAGAGCCGGGAAGCGGGTCTTCACTGGGTGTGGCTGCTTGGCAGTCAGTGCAGATGCTCTAGTGTGTGGGCGGAAGAAGCCACGTCTGCTGGGTGTGTTGGTCGTGGCCCATCCACACTTTCTTTAGGCTCTGGTGACCTGAGGTGGAAGGGAGGTGGCCAGGGAGAAGGTCTGCAGGACGTCACTGCAGGGGACAGAGGCAGTGAGGGGGACGCCCGAGGAGGTGCGAGGTCCTCCGCCACCCAGCGGACTGCCTGTGACTGCGAGGGGGCCGAGGCCAGTGTGATCGGGAGATGCCTTAAGGGCAGCACCGGCCAGGGCGAAGGAGGGGCGGGGCCGGGGCGTGGTGGGTTTAAGGCAACACCAGAACTGAGGAGGGTCTGTCTGGTGACAGACAGCTCGGTGATACTGCTCTTTAAACTTGGTGAACCTCCTCCGTGGATGGGGCTGTTAGCCGAAGGAAGGCACTTGGTTTTTAGAGTTGGGGGAGAAGGTTCTGTGCCCACAAATAGGAGTCGGCTGAGAAAGTGTCAGGTGTGTGGGTGATGAAATCCTCGCTGTGTGGCCACCACTCCTCCGGTGCTTGGGCACCACCTGGGGGGGTGGCCTGGTCCCACTCTGCCTGCGCCTAACACTGACGGGTGGCCCGGCCGCCAGCCCCTCCTGGAGCTTCAGGGACACCGCCAGGAGGACCCTGCCTCGTGCTGGGGAGCTGGTTTCCGCGAGCGTTTCTCTGTGTAAAGCCATGCGTGGCCCACCACTCAGTCCCCGGAAACGTGAATCCAGCTTTGTTATGTGGAAAACAGATGTCTGTTCCTGTGGCAAGTGTGTGCATCATAAAGTGGACACACTGCCGCCCTTGTGCAGAAGCGAGGCTAAGGAGACCCACTCCCTGTCCAGTCTCCTCCGTTATTGTCGGCCACCCCCCAGAATGTGGTCATTAGTTGTTTCGGACGTTCAGTCACTTGGCAAGTCTTTGAGCATCTGCCTCACCGGGGCTGCAAAAGCAAAGACACACAGCCCTTGCCCTTGAAGTTCACGCGTGCCAAATGTGTCTGCTGTGTTTTGTGCTGGCTGCTTTTCTGCGCCTCCACCGGCTCCGAGCATCAGACTGCCACCTGCCCATTCCTGATGACGGCCGCCTGGTGCTCTGCTGTCGAGGCTCCACTGTTTTCCCTGTTGGTGGCGTTGGACTTGCCTCCGCTCTCTGCTGTACAGATGTTACCGAGAGGAACATTTTGTTCAAGCTCTTTTTCTCTGAGTTCATGTGCTTGAGGCATATTCCCAGAGCGGGAATGCAGGTCAGAGGTTGATAACTGCCACCAGCCTTGTTCTGTGTTTCCAAATTTTTCCATGAAGCCTATTGGCAACGGTAGAGTACATTGCCATTTCCTGTAGCCCCACCATCACTGGTATTGTCATTTTAACTTTTCTTTTTTATAATATATTTTATTGATTATGCCATTACAGTTGTCCCATTTCCCCCCCCTTCATTCCCCTCCTCCCTGCACACCCTCTCCCACCCACATTCCCCCCCTTTAGTTCATGTCCATGTGTCATAAGTTCTTTAGCTTCTACATTTCCCACACTACTCTTGCCCTCCCCCCATTTTCTACCTCCCATCTATGTTAATTATTCTCTGTACCTTCTCCCCCCCCACTCCCCTTTTGTTAACCCTCCATGTGATCTTCATTTCTGTGGCTCCGCTCCTGATCTAGCTGTCCTCTTAGTTTGCTTTTGTTTTAGGTGTGGTTGTTAATTGTGAGTTTGCTGTCTTTTTACTGTTCATATTTTTCATCTTCTTTTTCTTAGATAAGTCCCTTTAACATTTCATATAATAAGGGCTTAGTGATGATGAACTCCTTGAATTTGACCTTATCTGAGAAGCACTTTATCTGCCCTTCCATTCTAAATGAAAGCTTTGCTGGATAGAGCAATCTTGGTTGTAGATCTTTGGATTTCGTGACTTGGAATACTTCTTTCCAGCCCCTTCTTGCCTGTAAGGTCTCTTTTGAGAAATCTGCTGGTAGTCTGATGGGAACTCCTTTGTAGGTGACTGTCCCCTTATCTCTTGCTGCTTCTAGAATTCTCTCCTTCATTTTAATCTTGGCTAATACAATTATGATGTGCCTTGGTGTGTTCATCCTTGGGTCCAGCTTCTTTGGGGCTCTCTGAACTTCCTGGATTTCCTGGAAATCTATTTCCTTTGCCAGATTGGGGAAGTTCTCCTTTATTATTTGTTCAAATAAGTTGTCCACTTGTTGCTGTTCCTCTTCCCCTTCTGGTACCCCTATAATTCAGATGTTGGAATGTGTAAAGATGTCCTGGAGGTTCCTAAGCCTCTCCTCATTTTTTGAATTCTTGTTTCTTCATTCTTTTCCAGTTGGATGTTTGTTTCTTCCTTCTGGTCTACTCCATTGATTTGAGCCCGTTTTCTTTCTATCACTATTGGTTCCCTTAGTGTAGCCTTCATTTGTTCATCTAATTTGTGACCAGAGTCAACCAGTTCTGTGAGCATCCTGATCACCAGTGTTTTGAACTGTGCATCTGATAGGTTGGTTATCTCTTGGTCACTTAGATGTATTGGCTCTGGGGATTTGGTCGGTTCTTCCATTTGAGCCCTTTTTTTTGGGGGGGGGGGTCAGGTTGTTGCTGTTATATATGAGGGGCGGAGCCTTAGGTGTTCACCAGGGCGGGGCAACCGAGTAGCTTGGTTCTTACACTGTGTGGGGGCGGGATCAGAGAGGGAACAATAGCGCCTGCTAGGATTTCAGTCCCCTCTGTGGCTTCCCACAAGCAAATTGGGCCCTTCTGGTGCTGGTTCCCGGGTATGTGGGCTTGTGTACATTCTAGGACCCTGTGGGTCTCTTCAACAAACTCTCCTGTAAGTCTGGGAATCTCTCCCGGCCCCTTTTTAATCGGTGCTTTCTTTCCCATCACTGGGGCCCTGGGTTACACGGTCTGTCTTGCTGCCCATTTTTGCCTAGTCTGTCTGTACCTGAATGTGTGACTGCGGTCAGCCCCGCACCGCCTGCCTGCCTGGGTCTGCCAACCATGCTTTTTCCTGCTGTGACCCCTCTCCACCAGCTGCTGACTCCGCCCCTCTTACCGATCTGTATGAATGGTTGTCAGACTTCCATACAGTTCAGCTTTCTGTCTGTTCTGATTGTGTTTTTGTTTCTAAATCTTTGTTGTCCTTAATTTTGGTTGTGCGAGGAGGTACAGTGTTTCCACCTATGCCTCCATCTTGGCCAGAAGTCTTAACTTTTCTTATTTTTATAAGTTATTTTCATTTTTTAAGGGAGTTAATAAGCTGTTTTCTCCACATGGTAGTTTTCTGTTTTAGACTTGGCTAGGTTATGCTGCAGTAACAAGTAAACCCCAAATCTCAGAGGCTTCACCTGACAAAAACGTCTCTCTTGCTCGCTGTGCACGTCCCTTGTGGGGCACTGGGGTGTAGTCCCCCACAGTCACTCTGGGGCCAGGCTGGTGGAGGAGACTCTGTTGTCCTGCAGCTGCAGCGTGAGGCTTCTCAGTGGGTGACAGACCGAAAGCAGAGGGCCAGGGACTTTCGAGGTTACGTGGCCTGGTTATGCGGCCCGGTGTCGCGGGCGGAAGTTCAGGGGGCAGTCCCATCAGTGCCCCAGCTGTCTCTTCTCTCCTGCGTGCTCCTCCGTGGCAGCTCCTCTGTGCCGTGCGCTGGGGCCTCCCTCTTCATGTCGGCCTCTACCGTGTTTTAGAGGTAAATGTCGTGGATTCAGTCGTGCTGAATCCACTTTCTTTATCTGCATTCCACGTGACATTTCATCATGCAAGCGTTTAAATAATTACGTAGTTTTCGGTCCATCCATCATATTTTCTGGTATCTTTTGTTTCTTTTTTCTTCCTCATGACCTCTGCCTTTTTACTGGCCTCCTGCCCCCACGGGGTGCCCCATATCTGTCGCCTTCATGCTTCTGAACTTCAGTGTCCTTCACCTCAGACACCACTTTGTGGTCCACAGCCTGTGGTGGGGGGGGTGGCCTTCCGGATGGATGGTTTGGAGTTGCGTGTCACCAAGATCGCAGTCCTCCCCTTCTTCTAGCAGGTGGTGGTGGGCGGTGGTCTCAGCCTCCAGCTCCACCTCGGTGTTCAGTAGGGCCTCAGCTCCCAGGGCAGGTGCCACCCCTTGGCCCAGGTCTGGGCTGGTCCGACTCCACGTACAGCAGGGTCTCACCGAGCTGCCCCGCCGCCTGGCACGGCCCACCTCCACGCCCTCAGGCCAGTGTGCAGACTGGCCCGCAGGCTTCTCATCCATCCACGTCCATCTCCAAGCACTGGACTGCGAGTCTCAGCTCCGCACGTGTCATCTCAGTGGTCTGGGAGGTGACCGCTGTGGTGCTGTCCTCAGTCTGTTGGGACCAGTACTTGTCTGGCTCCTCTCGGAGCCTGGGTGTCCTCTGTGATCTTGCCGAGGTCCTGAGATTTGGGGGCATCCAAATCCCTGGTCAGCGCAGTGCTGGCAATCTGGCTCTGTAGGCCCTACACTCCCCCCACCGCATGTTTTTTCTTCGTCAAG